CTCCCGCCGCAGGCAGCGTGGCCAAGTGCCGGCCGCGCCTGCCAGGCCTAAGGCAAAACAGGGCCCAGGGGTCCTTCTCCTGTGCAAGAGGTCTTATCAGAGGGGACGCCCTGCGCTGGTGTTTCAGCTTCCTGCACGGCTGGTTCCCGCTTGTGGACTGCCTCCTGCACGGTAATCTTTGCCTGCATTTCTCTGCCTTCCTTTAGGGACTTCAGTATAGCAGATTACGACTACCTGCCCGTGTCTTCTGAAATCAAAGAACTCTTTGAGTATATCAAGAGGTGAGTCGAAGGGGGTTTAGCCTGCTGCTCCTCGTTCTCCTTTGTGTCAGTTACTGGGGCAGGGTTGCAGGACAGTCCATTGCTGCTCCCACAGTGGTGCTGGTTTTTCCCAGGTACACTCCCAAACCAATAGAGATTGAGTACAAACTGCAGCCTTTCATTCCAGACTTTATTCCTGCAGTTGGGGATATTGACGCATTTCTAAAGGTACAGTTGCTTCGCTTTCCTCTGCGCGTGCTGTGTGTGAGCTGAAACGGGACCTGGTATTGGCCTGAGCCTGACCCTGCAGCGCAGTGGCAGCCACTGTGCCCGCAGTGCTAGGAGCTCTGTCCCCAAGTGGTCAGACAGAACAAACACTTACCTCGGGTGTAATTTGGGGCCAGGGCCGTGTTTCCCTTATCCAGCACCTTGTGCTTTTCAGGTAGCACTGTACTAACAACACGTAGTCAAGAGAGCAGGCCTGCCAATGCCTTTCAGGGTCTGGATTTTAAACCACAGAGAGGATCCCTCCAAAACAGCCCAACTTCCCCTGCTCTAAGGCTCCCGCAGGAACAGGGCCTCTGTTTGGCTGCAGGTTCCCCGTCCCGATGGCAGCCCTGATAACCTGGGGCTGCTGGTCCTGGACGAGCCGTCGACCAAGCAGTCAGATCCCACCGTGCTCTCCCTTTGGTTGACGGAGAACTCCAAGCAGCACAACATCACAGTGAGTCAGGGACGGGGAGGTCCCACTTGCTGCATGCTGCCTGTGGCAAAAACATTGCATTTTGCTCTTACTTCTGTCTCTGTGACTGCAGCATTGCAGCACAGCTTCTAATTTGGCTCCAAAGGTGGAAAACACTAACCTTTTTCTTTAGCTTTAAACTGCAGCGGATCTATGGCAGGGCTTGGTTCAGGTCTCGGATCAGTTTCCTTCAAGGGAAGCTTTGTTTCCTGTTGGTTGTCAATACCTGGTTTTCCTCAGCATTCTGTTTGCCCGTGCCTCTCCCTGGTTGGTGCAGTGCAACTAGGAAAGAGAAAACACATGGTTAACGTGGAGCCAATGCAGGGGATGCCAAAAAGCCCCCCAAACACCCTGAAATGCTTCCACGTTTGTATTTCTGTTCTTAGCAGCAGATAAAAGTGAAGAGTGTGGAGAACGTAGAGAAGAACCCCAAAGCCATTGAGAGCTGGATTGAAAGTATCAACGAACTGCACCGCTGCAAACCCCCTGCCAGGGTCCACTACACCCGGTGAGCCCCCTGCCACATGTGCGTGCCCGGCTCAGGTCACAGCGGGGCTGGTGGCAAAGGCCGGGGGCTGAGCACTGCCAGTCCCCTGTGCCGCAGCCCGGCAGCAAGAACCCGTTTCACTTGGGTGTGATCCTGAAGTTTCTGTCCTTTTCTTGCCTGGCAGGCCAATGCCTGACATAGAAACCCTGATGCAGGAATGGTCACCGGAATTTGAGGAGCTCTTGGCTAAGGTATGTTGGGAGTTAGCTTGGTACTGGTGTTACAACCACCTTCCAGGAAAGCTGGGGGCCTGCTCCATTCTGGGCTCTTTGCCCCTCGCCCGGCCCACTCGGATTTGTTCCTGCTTCCCATTTCTTCCTCACCAGAAGCTGGGGGAGCAGCCTGATGCCTGAATTCCTGGTGGCTGCCTGGGTTGGGCACTGTGCTTGGCCCGAGAGCAGCGCGTGCCATACAGGAGCAGAGCTGACAGCTCCATCTGTTCCAGGTGGGGCTCCCAACGGCGGAGATGAGCTGTGGTCTGGCCGAGTACGTCGACATGATCTGCGGTAAGCTGAGAGCACAAATGTGCTGCTGGCCCAGCACTGTCTCTCCTAAAGCAAGGGACTGTTAGAGGCAGGCTCAGCCCCGAGGGGTCGAGATCATTCTCTGCTGTCTGCAGTGGGACGTGCGCTCAGACGCGGGTGCCTGCGGTCTTTGATGAGGGAAACCCCAGTAGTGGTGGGCAGGGGGAAGTTCAGTCTTTACCTGCAGCACTCGGACGTTCTCACATGCTTCTGCTTGTAGCTATTCTGGACATTCCTGTGTACAAGAGCCGGATCCAGCCTCTGCACATCCTCTTCTCTGTCTACTCCGAGTTCAAGAACTCACAGGTACAGCTTCAGGCAGGCACTGCTCACCCAGCTGGAAGTATCACAAGGCTTCTCTCCTCATGTTTGGCTTTGCTGTGGGTGTCTGTGAGGGGGTGGCAGGCTAGACAAAGGGCCCCAAAGAGCATTTTCTAAGCTGCTTGATTCCCTGGCACCTCAACATTGCACAAGGAGCCCCTGAGGTGCCTCAGGGATGAGGTGCCATCATTTAACAGTCCAGCATGAGCCCATATGAGTCTGGTGCTTTTCCTACTGGAGTCAGGAGCTGCTGAGCCCACAGCTCACACAGAGGGGCAGCATTTTCATGCGCACGCCTGTACTCTTGAACAAGCACCAAATCCTTGCACTAATAACGTTCTTTCCTCTGCAGCATTTCAAGCCCCTGGCTGATGGGAAGAAGGGCAGGAGCCCACCATCCAACCCACTTTCGCAAGCGGCAGAGGTGGAGGCGTTAAGCTTTACTTGAAGCTTCATGTTGAACCCCTGGATCAATGTCTGCTACTATCAGCAGCCTGTGAAGCAGTGCAGAGAACATCAGGAGCCTCCCTGGCTTTAGAGACACAGCTGAACTGTGCTGTATTCGTAGAGTAGGACTCTACTCATCGCGCTGTTGCAGAAGCTGCCTCATGGCTCCAATTTTGGCTTGTTCCTGATGAGTTCAACATTAAACCAGCTCTTCCTAGTGACAGGCTCCCTAAGCTGTGGGTGCTGCAACGCTGGGGCTCCTCAGGTGCACATGACAAGTGCTAGAGCAAATGGGATTAAGTTCCACCCTCAGACATGGCGCTAGGATCTGACCAGTGCGTTCCGCAGCCTAACTGGGGGTCTCAGATTTCTTCTGCTCCCTCTTACTGAGCCCCTTTTCCTGTTCTCAAGCCCTGTAGCTGCTGCCAAGGAGAAATGAGGAGAAACAAGAAATGAGGTGGTGAGGCACTGGAATAGGCTGCCCGAGGAAGTTGTGAATGCTCCAGCCCTGGTGGTGTTCAAGGCCAGGTTGCACAGAGCCTTGGGCGACATAGTTTAGTGCGTGGTGTCTCTGCTCATGGCAGGGTGGTTGGAACTAGATGATCTTAAGGTCCTTTCTAACCCTAACTATTCTATGATTCTGTGATTAAATAACCAGTGTGGCACCACAGAGACACTGAAGTTTGGTTTGTTGCTGTGGGGAGGACTCCCTCCAGCCCCTGCCCACCCATCTGCTGCAGCTCTGGCAGGGATGGCAAGGATCATGCAGCAAGTGGGCCATGAACCTGCAAAAGCAAGGCTGGTGCTTGGCCTCGCCCTGGGAGGAACCTCAGTGCTGGCAGCAGGGCTGAGCCTGGCTATAAACAGCTTTGATGCATCTATTCCTAAAGCACACAGGCTACATAAAACCATACCTTGGCTCACAGCACAGCTACCGGGACCTGTGGTGGCCAGGGCTGGTCAGCACCCTGCTCCCGGCACAGCCCCCATGGCTGCGCTCCTCCAGGGGCTGGCACATATCTGGGGCCAGGCAGCCCTGGCTCAAGGCACCCTGCCATGTCTCACAGCCAGATCTCCTCGCTGCTCACACTGGGCGCTTGGTAGATGCACCCGGACTTTGGGAGCTGGATAAAACCTGCGGGACAAAGACAGTCGTTGCTGTTGCCCTTTGGGGCGGCCATGGAGGCCGGTGTCCCACCAGCATGGCTTTTGGGGCCACTTGTCCACCCACACCCCCTCACCAAACTTGCTGAGGACCAGGGAGTTCTCCAGCCCTGGCTATGTGCTCTCCTCTCCCCCAGAACCAGCTCCTGTGTCCTTTGGGAAAGCTGCAGGGAAAGAAAGGGGTGAGAGCCAGACACCAAGCCCCCACCAAGATAGGGCCCGTGGCCCTGCCTATCCCTCTGCACCAGCACCCGGGGCCTCACTTCCAGCCTCCTGCTTCACCCAAGCTAAACCCAAATGGTTAAGAGCTGCCTCAGGG